TACGGGAATGAGACCCAATCCTGCATCCCTTGGGACAGGAAATCCTTCATCCCTTAGGAACAGGGCCAAGGCTGAGTCCCACATCCCTTGGGACAGGGAATCCTGCAACCCTTGGGATGGGGAAGGAGGCCAAATCCCACATCCCTTGGGACAGGGGCTGAGGGGGAATCCCGAATCCTTTGGGACAGGGGTTGAGGCTGAATCCCACTTTCCTTGGGACAGGAAATCCCACATTCCTTGGGAGCAGGGCCAAGGCTGAGTTCACATTCCTTGGGCAGGGAATCCCCCATTCTTTGGATGGGAACCAGGCTGAATCCCACTTTCCTTGGGCAGGGGATCCTGAGGCCGAACCCCACATTCCCTGGGTCAGGGGCCAAGGGCAGCAGAGCCCAGCACGTGGTGCTGGAGGACAAATCCTCCTCCCTTTCCTCTCTTCCCTCCTCCTTTTCCTCCTTTTCCTCCTGCTCAGAGCCCCCATCCCGTGCCCATCTATACATCTCTACATATACATTAATTACATACACATATATACACACACAGACACGCCCAGCACCAGCCCTGCTCCTGGGGAGCCCAGGGAGCTCATTCCCACCAAACCTTCCCAGACTGGAAGCTCAGCGTTACTTCAGAGCCTGGCAGAAAACCTTGGAGCCTGGAAAAAATCATGACAAGGGTGTTTATGGGAGAGAAAGGGAATTTAGAAATCCATTCCTGTTCTTGGCTGATGGGTTTGTTCCTGTGGAATCCTCTGAGCTGGTGATTCACTGCAGGGAGAGCTCAGAATTCTGGAGCTGGAGATGAGGCAAAGGAACCCCCAGATTGTCAGGGAAATGGGGGAGGGAGTGGGGAAATCTGAGGCAAACCAGCCCATCCTGGCTGTCATCCATGGATGACATCCCCTGAGCCATCCCCTGAGCCATCCCCTGCACTGCAGCTCGATCCCCCAGCACGGCTCCTTTATGGAAAGATCCAAAATCAGAGATTTTGGGAGGAAAGGGACAATTCCATCCCAACACAGGGACCTGGTGCTTTTTATAAAAAGATCCAAAATCAGAGATTTTTGGGGCAAAGGCACAACTCCCAGTCCTGCAAAACCCACTCAGGGCTGGGTCCTGCTGCTGCTGGGCCCCTTCCATGTCCTGCCCTTCCCAAACTCCCCATTCCAGACCTGGTTTGGGCTCTGTGCTCTTCCCTTCCCTTTGTTCCTCCTGCCTTCTATGGATGGATGTGCACCAGGAGTTCCTGGATATTCTCCTGCTGGATATTCTCCATCATTCTCCGGCTGCAATTCCAGCAGGGAGAGCCCCAAGGCTGGCACAGCTGGCAGAGCAGCCCACACCACCCTGCAATTCCAGAAACTCCTAAAATTATCCAGCTGGAACAGCCAAGAGTCTCCCTGCGGCTCCAGCACATCACAGACACACAGGAGCGTGTGGAAAAGAAATGGAAAAGCCGTGGAAAATCCCTCGGGGAGCACAGCTGGAAGGACCAGCACATCTGGGCGCTGCTCCAGCTGTTCCTGGCTGGGATCACCATGAGACGTCGGAATCTGGGCAGAGGGGACGATGCCAGGCTCGGCTTTGGGAAGGGAAGGTGCTGGAGATGCCAGAGTTCATTTTGCCAAAAATCCGCTCCGCAGCCGAATCAGCAGCTGGGGGTGGCTCCTCCTCCCCTCTCCCTGCCCGTCTTCCACCAGCGAGCCCTGAAAAGCCCCGGAGCAGGAGTGGCTGCAGGAGGGAGCAGCTGCCTCCACCAGCCCTCGGGGTTTTATCCATCCCTGCGGCTCTGCTCATGGAGAAATGACGTTATCCAGGAGTTTTTGGGAAATGGGCTTTCCCAACAATTCCTGCTCATGTTCAGCTCCATCCCAACTCCCTGGAGGGAGGCACAGGATCACATCCTCCAGCATAAAACTTTTTTTCCCTTCAAACATCAGCTCCAACAGCCCCCACGGAGCTGAGACAAGAGGCTGTGACATCATTAACATCACAAAAAGCGGTTTTTGGGTTTTCCAAACCCAAAAAATTCTCCTGGAGGTCACATCCCGCTCCAGGTGGAGAGCAAAAGCGTGGAAGCAGGAGATAAACAACGAATTATTTGATCATTTCTGATTAACAGTTTAATTGCCTTCACCTTTTTTTTATTGTTTTTATCTCATATTTTAATTACTGCAAAAGTCCTGCCCAGGCTCCTCTCACCCTCCTACCTCCAGCTTTCCTCACTCCTGAAGCTGTGATGGATTTAAGTGCCAGGATTACAACCTAACACCAGCTGAGAGGGACGAGGTTAAGCTTGAGTGAGTAAAAAAATTGTATTATGGAACATCAGACTATTAAATAGGGGGAAAAAATGGAATGAAGAAGATTAAGAAGGCAGCTCTGAAAAGCGGCATTAAAAAGATTAAGCTGGGAGGGTTGGTTTGTTTTTTTTAAGAGCAAGCTCCAAAGATTAAATCCAGGTTTTCCCAAGAGTTGAGGATTTTGGGTGGCCTTGGTGACCTTGATTTGTGCCACTCCCCTTTGTGTGATCCCAACAGGGCCAAAATCCTAAAATCATCAAATCCAGGAGTCCAAACTCCCTCTGGAGCAGCACAAAGTGGCTCTGGGTTGGCACCAGGCCCCTTCTGAGTTGTTCCCTCCTTTGGAGCATCCTCATCCTCATCCTCATCCTCATCCTCATCCTCATCCTCCCTCCAGGATGGACATAGAAATGGTCACTCCCAGTGCCACCCCCCAAACACCCAACAGGGCCTTCTCCAACCTCCAAGAACCTGAACCACGAGGATTTTGAGGCTGACAGCTCAAAAATGAGGATTTAGAGGGAGCTCTGTTCCCTATCCCAAAGTAAAGCCAGGTTGTCATTTTGGGTTGTATCCCAGGGAAAAGCAGCCCAAAGCTCCCAACTTGCCAACCCCAAATCCTACCCAAGCACTATCCCAGTGCACTGAGAAATTCCAGGGATTTCATTTCCTTCCATACCTGTGTTACTGTGGGTATACAGGAGTAGACATATATATTTTATATATATTTAAAATATTCTTATGGCCTCAAATCCCTTCCACAACGAAGCTCTTCTGTCTTGTAACCCCCACCAGGGCCATAAAACCCTAAATCCACCAACCCCCCTCAGGGACCAAAGTGTCCCTGGCTCCGTGCAGGTTAATTCACAAATAAATGATTTTTTTCCCCCAAAATTTTCCCATTTAAGTTGCTCCAAGAGCAAATCCAAAGTCTCCATGGGACCCAGTCAAGATCATGACCATCGTGACAACAAAGCTCCACAAACAGGGCTCCAGCTAATTAAGAGCCACCTCATTGGAGCACCTTAATTGAAATGTCTTGATTGAAATATCTTAATTGAATCTGTGTGCAGAGATTGCTCTGGAAAATCCAGCCTTTCCCAAAGGCACTGGAGGCTCTGGCTCTGCACCCTGGGCAGCCTCGGAGGGGACACCTGGGGGTGCCAGGCTCGGGTTCTCTCCAGCCCTGTGGGTTGTGCTGGGATTTAAACGCCAACAAAGGAAAACCATCAATCCTGGGGATTCAAACAACAAAGGAAAACCATCATTCCTGGGTCTTTCCACTGATTTGGGGATCTTTCCAATGATCCAATCAGCCCTGGGGCAGAGCCGTGGTTCTGCCTCCTCTTCCTCACCTCTGGAGCCGCTGGGATCCCTGCCGGACCCCGAGGGGACCGGGATGGTCCGTGCTTGGCTTTCCTTCCAAGGCTGCATCCCCCGCCTTGCAGAGCTCTGTTATCCCCTCTGGAACAGCCAGCAAGAGGATTCAGCTTCTCCAGTCCCACTCCTCCCCAAGGAATGTTCTGCAAAGCCGAGCTTTAGTGGTCACAGTGAAAACCCAGCCCAAGCCAAGTCCCTTCCCGGCCAAACTCCTCAGCCAGAGGTGGATCCAGGAGATTCCAGCGGGTGGCAGGAGGGCAGCAGCCTGGGATGCCCCAATGCAGCTCCACAAGCTCTCCAGAATGTTGATCCAAAGGGATCATTCCTGATGTTTGTATTTATTTTCTTTTTTCCCCACTCCAGGAGCGAATCCCAGGGCACCAGGTATTCCAGCCCCTTGTGCTTTTCCCAAGGTTCCAGGAGTGTTGGAGAGCCGTGTCCTCTCTTCCAGCAGAAGGGGAATCCTGCAGAGCGACCAAACCCATTCCGAAAGAAACCCAAAATATAAAGACGAGACAGAGGGAAGGAAATCTCCCTCCTTTATGGACGGAAAAAAAAGGGGAATAAATCCAAAGCAAGCCCCCAGTGCTGCAGGGCTGGCAGGAGGCGTCCGGATCCCAGAGTTTGTGGTGGTGGGAGAAGTCCAGTCGAGCTCCAGGCACCACGGGCAGCCCATCCTGTGCCCTCCAGGGCATTCCCGGGCACGGCTGCCCTGGCATTGGCCCCTTGGCATCGGCCCCTTGGCATCGGCCGCGTGTCCCGTCCCTCCCGCCAGCAGAAAGGCCAGCGGTGCTCGGTGTGACCTCAGAGCTGCTCGGTGTGACCTCAGCACTGCTCAGTGTGACCTCAGCACTGCTCGGTGTGACATCAGAGCTGCTCAGTGTGACCTCAGCACTGCTCGGTGTGACCTCAGCACTGCTCGGTGTGACCTCAGCACTGCTCGGTGTGACCTCAGCACTGCTCGGTGTGACCTCAGCGATGCTCGGTGTGACATCAGAGCTGCTCGGTGTGACCTCAGTGATGCTCAGTGTGACCTCAGCATTGCTCAGTGTGACCTCAGAGCTGCTCGGGGTGACCTCAGCACTGCTCGGTGTGACCTCAGCAATGCTCAATGTGACATCAGAGCTGCTCGGTGTGACCTTAGCGCTGCCCCGGGCACCCCGTGTCCCCCATGCCAAGGACGCGTTTCCTCCTTCAGCCGCCGAGGGTTTTGCTTTGTAAATTCACAGTCTGATCCCAAAAAGAGAGAGAGAGAGGAGGGGGGAAAGAGAGAGACCGGATGGAGGAGAGGAGGGGGAGGGTTTGGAGCGGGAGGGAGGGAGGGAGGGAGGAAGCGTGAGGCACTCCGGGCTCTCGCTCTACGCGTAGAACTCCTCCTGCTTGTCGGGTTTCTGGTAGGTGACGTTGGCCTGCTTGGGCTCCTCCAGGGTGTAGCTGCCCTCGTCCTTCTTCTTCATGCGGTAGATGAGCAGCATCACCAGGAAGGCGGCGAAAAGGGCGCCCACCACACCACCCACGATCACCGCTGCAACAACACAGGGGACACGGCTGTCAGTGCCACCCACGGCCATCAGTGCCACCCATAGACATCAGTGCCACCCAGAGACATCAGTGCCACCCGCGGGTGTCAGTGCCACCCACAGACATCAGTGCCACCCACAGACATCAGTGCCGCCCATGGCTGTCAGTGCCACCCGCGGGTGTCAGTGCCACCCAGAGACATCAGTGCCACCCATGGCTGTCAGTGCCACCCGCGGGTGTCAGTGCCACCCAGGGCCATCGGTGCCACCCCAAGTGTCAGTGCCACCCATGGCTGTTAGTGCCACCCCCGGGTGTCAGTGCCACCCGCAGACATCAGTGTCCCTCCCGGGTGTCAGTGCCACACACGGCCATCAGTGTCACCACTCTAGTCTTCAGTGTCACCCCCATGGCCTTCAGTGTCACCCCCAGCCATCAGTGCCACCCATGGACCTCAGTGCCCCCCCCAGCCCTCAGTGCTGTCCCACTGGTCATCAGTGTCATTCACAGCCCTCAGTGCCACCCCCAGCCCCAGCCTGGCTTCCAGCACAAGGACTTTGAGGGGGGATCATTTGGGATTCCAGCCTGGTTTGGCGCTTTGGAAATTTGGGAGCAGCCTTTCAGCAGTGGCCGGGTCACTGCAGCACATCTTTGGATTTCCAGGAAAAAATCTCATTTTTGTCCTGGGAATCCATCTCAGCACAAACAAATTGTGCACAACATTCCTGGCAGAGGCATGGAGACCCCTGGGACCCCCAGCAGAACCATGGAGCAATTTTGGGAGATGGGTGTGGGTTATGCCAGGCTCAGCACTATCCCAGTTTGGGGGCTTCATTTGGGATTCCAGCCTGGCTTTGGGCTTTGGAAGTTCGGGAGCAGCGCTGAGTGCTGAGCTGTGACCACAGAACATCTTTGCACTGAAATCCCTTTTTTTTTTCCTGGAAATCCATCTCAGCAGAAAGAAATTGTGCAGAGCTTTCCTGGCAAAGGCATGGAGACCCTGGGACACCCCAGGGAGCAATTTCGGGAGGTGGGTGTGAATTATCCCAATGCCCTTCCCAGGACTGTCCCCTCTCCGGGGACAGCCCAGCTCCTTGTGCCCCCAAACCCCCAGCCCCATATCTCACCTATCAACACCTCTTTCCTCTCCAGGATGTTTTTCTGGGGCAGCTGTGCAGCCGAGTTGCCCGAGTCTATCGTGTTGTCCATCAGCCCCGTCTCCACGTTCCTGCCGGACCCCGGCGCCGCCGGCGCTGTCACCACGGCCATCACCTCATTCCCGAGCTCGGGACGAGTCGTCTCTTCCTCCTCCCGGATCTCGAAGTCCCCGCTGGGGCCGCTGCTGGCCGGGACCTCCAGCTCGCTGTCGGGGACTGTTGTCACCTCCCCTGGCTCCATCTGGGAGAAAGGACAAGATGGAGCAGGGGACAAGGACCAAAGGGTATCTACAGGGAGGACATCACTGGGCTGAGGACAGGCTGGGGGACATAGGGACAATGTTGGGGTGTCCCTTCTTGTGTCACTGAAGTTGTACCACAGTGACAACACAACCGCACAACTTGATGGTCACCAAATGGCTGAGGCCACCATGGCTGAGCTGGGCCATTGTCTGTCCCCATTCCAGGACCTGTTCCCTGTAGTTTCTCCTAAAGAAACCCCATCCCAGACCCTTCACGCTTACAAGGAAGAATTTCTCCCCAATATTCCATGGCAGACCCTCCGTGGGCTCTGTCCCCAGAGCACAGGTTGGATGTCACCACTCCTAACAGGAGGTGACACAACATCCAGCACAGGAGAGGAAGGATTGGATGCCTCTGGATGAGCCCCAGGAGTCCCTTCCCTCTTCCTTTCCCCCCTTCTGCTGCACAGGGCAGGAGCAGGAGGATGGGTCCTTGTCACCCTGGGCACAGAGCTGCCACCCAGGACACGGAGCTGCCACCCAGGACATGGAGCTGCCACCCAGGACATGGAGCTGTCACCCAGGACGCGGAGCTGTCACCCAGGACACGGAGCTGTCACCCAGCCCAGCTCCCTTCTGTCCCTGCCCAATTCCCTTGGCAAGGAGGGGATCCTAGCCTCGAGGGCAAATATTGCCTGGGAATATGATCCATCCCACCCCCTCCATCCCATCCCTGACCCATTCACTGCCTCCTGCACATCTCCTCGGGACCACAACCCCTGGCCTTTCCCCGTTGTCCCTCGGCGTGTCCCCCGAGCTGGAGCATCCCCGAGCCAAACCTCCCCGGGATCCCTCCCTGCTGGGGCAAACGGCTCCTTCCCGCCCGCCTCGGGCACAAAGCAGGATTCAGGACGAGCCAGGATTCAGGATGAGCCAGGATTCAGGACGAGCCAGCACTGAGGACGAGTCAGGAGCTGTGCGGGGCGGGGGTGGGAGCCCTCTCCATGTCGCGCTGCCCCGGGGCCAGCGCACGGCTCAGCGCTTCCCACGAGCGAGCGGCCGGGGTTGTGACAGGGATTAATTGAAGGTCAGCGAGAGCCCCGAGCGCTCCGAGCACGCATTTGCAGGCGGAGAAGAGGGAGTAGTTTAGACAAATCACTCCACCTTTCAGTCAAAGCGGCTGCAAAGGGCCCCCGAGGGGCTCTGAATGCGAGATGGAGCTGAAATTCCTGCTCAGGACACCCGAGGGCTGGAAATGCACCATCAAGCCGTAATTGAGGAGAGTTTGGCACTCGCGGGCAGGGCTGGGAGCTGGGACATGACACCAAACCCCGAGGAAAGTCGCTGTGTCCCCGTGGGAGGTGGCACTGCCGCCCTCCCGCCTGGGGAAGCCGCTCTGCAGACGGCAGTGCCGGGGGCACCGGGGCTGGTGGCACATCCTGGGTGCCCCCAGGAGCTCCAGCAGCCCGGGCTGAACTCCCCCTTTCACATTCCCAGCCCAGATGTTCTGCTCTGGAATAGCCCAGCCTGCCTCCACCTCCCTCACAGCAAAGGCCAAGGATGGATGGACACCAAAGGCCTCCCGTGGCCACTGCTCGGCTTCCCACGGAGCCCAGGAGCCCCGAGCAGGTGAGAAGGGCTCTGGCCTCCTACCTGGGGGGCCTCTGTGGGCGGCAGCGTGGTGGCCGTGGGCAAGGCCGTGCTTTTCTCGGGGGGCTCTGCAGTCCTCGAGGTGCTGGGCTTTGGCAGAGCCCTGGGCTTGGCCGTGCTGCTGGGGACAAGGAGTGACGTGGCCACCTCTGTCGGGGTGCTGGCTTCAAGGACGGGCGTGGTGGGGGTCTCCAGGGTGGTGGCCCGGGTGGTGGCCGCCTTGGTGGCCAAGGGGGGCAGGAACCTCCGGATAGTGGTGGGCTTGGCCGTGGCCACGGTGGTGCTGCTTGTGGTCGTGGTGGCCTCTGTGGTGGTGGTGGTAGTGGTGGTGGTGGCCACGGTGGTGGGAGTGGTGGTGGCCACGGTGGTGGTGACTGCAGTGGTGGCCGTGGTGGTTGGGGGCTCCCTGGCCGCGGTGCTGGGGGTGGTGGTGCCTTTCCAGCTGGGCACCAGCGGCGCTGCCGTGGTCCTGGGGATGAGGAAGGCGCTGGTTGCCTGCCCGGGGGTGGTGTCCTGGGGGCTGGGGGACGGCTCCAGGGGCGTTGCCACGGGCTGGGCGGCGGTGACGGGCAGCACGGCCGCTGTGGTGGGCAGTGTCACCAGTGTGTCCGTGGTCAGGCTCACGGCCGTGTCCAGCCCCAGCTCCGGCTCGAAATCTGAAACGGGGCGACAAGAGGGAAGAGTGAAACCGCTGCTGATGAACTTCCCTGGCGCCGCCCCCAAAATCCGAGAGCACGGGTGGTTGCAGGCTCGGCAGAAACCGAGAGCTGATCCTGTGTGGTGGCCAAAGCCCTCTCTGGGGTCTATGGAGGAGCCAGTCCTGCCCAGAGGCTGAACGGGACACGGAGGCACTGCAGCCCAACTTTTGGGACAGCTCCCGTTGCTTTTGTCTCAGAGGACAACTCCAGTGATGGATAAAGGGCAATTCCAGCCCTCACATCCCCTCTCCAGCCCTCCAACCTCACAGCCAGCCAGAGACCCTTCTCCAGAGCCCCCAAACCCTACATCCAGCCAAGGGTCCTCCCAGGAAACCCCAAACCCCACAGCCAGCCAAGGACCTTCCCAGGAACCCCAAACCCCAGAGACAGCCAAGGACCTTCCCAGGAATCCCAGGAACCCCCCAAGCATCCAGGGGCCCTTCCCAGGAGCTCCCCAGTTACTCACACCCCGAGCCCGAGCCGGAGTAGACATCGTCCAGCTCATCTTCTCCAAAGGGATCGTCGTCCCCGGAGCCCTCCAGGTCCACGGGCCTCTCGTAGTTCTCATTGCGCCAGCGCTGAGCCTGTGACCGGACAGGGAGGGACAAGTGAGCGGCTCCAGCCCCACACCGGTGAGAGCCCAGCCATGGGAAAAGCCAGACCACGGCAGCAGCACAGAAACCTCCAGCTGAACCACCCAGAATCGCGGTGTTTTCCCCCAGAACAACTCAGAGTGAGCTCACATCCACTCCAACACTTCCCACGGACAAAAAGCTTTTTTTTTTTTTTTTTTTTTGGTGGGAAAACCCAACAATTCCTTTTGGAAGCTGTAAGAAAAACGCTCGCTTTGCTTCTCCAGCTGGCTGCTGTTCAGCCTCGATGATTTCCCTGTGAGTCCTGGCTCCGGTGTGACAGCAACACCTCATCAGCTGCCACAGCTTGGGAAGCCTCGAGAGGAAACAACACCAGACTTCAAATATTCCCCTTCTTCCCCGAGCTGCGAAAACGCGGGGAGCCCTCGCTAGCAGCGCTCTTAAACATCTTGTTTTGCAGATCAAAGTGTCTCCTGTTGGCGTTGCAAGGAAATGCTTTGACACCTCATTACAAGGCAAACAAGGCAGCTTTGATCTGCGAGATCGCATCAGATGTTTCAAGATGTAACGAGCCAGGTTCCAGCTTCAGTTTCAAATCAAGGCCTTGAAGGGTCCCTGTCGCCTCTCGGAGCATTTTACCGCCCGAAAACTGCTCGGGGTTTCTTTGTTTTCGCTGCAGCTTGGAGCAGGAAGGAGTTTTGAACAGTCAGACAGAGAAATTTGGGACCTGACTCGCGTTTTGTCCCTACATCCCTTCTCCCATCAGGAGAGAGAATCCATTAGCTCCGGAAGGGCAGGGGGAGTTGAGATTTTAAGTGTCTGAGCTGTGTCTGGCTGGATATGTTCCAGCTCTTCCCAGCAGCCACTGGATGTGTCCAACACCCCTCGTGCTTCCCAAATCTCTGGGAATATTTGGCCTTTGCCCCCCAGCTGATGCTCCATCCTGGACTCCCAGCACCCGCTCACCAGCAGCTCACTGGAATTTGTGATCCAGCAGAATAAATCTGCAGGGCTTTGGGAGTTGCACAGCCCAAAACTATGAGACGGGTCACCAAAACTGATGGGAAGGCAAGGCAAAATGCCCAGGACTGAGGGGATGCAAGAAAAAACACTGGGAATCACTCTCCTTTTGATGTTTTCACACCCAAAGTATCGAGGCTCCCCAAGAAAAGGAGAGCCCGGCACTCTGCAGCCCATCCACATTCCCAAGGGTGGGATTCTCCCTGTGTGACCTGCACAGCCTCTCCCTGATGGCAGCCACATGGCCTCGCTGCCTTTGTTCCTCCTGAAATTGGAACCAGATGAGGCCGTTCCAGACTCCTGGCTCCGGGCTTGGAGCAGGAAATGGGAACAAAGAGTCAGCTTGGCACAGCAGCCCCCATCCATCCAACACCCATCTGTGCATCCATAATCCATCCATAATCCATCCTTCCTTCCTTCCTTCCTTCCTTCCTTCCTTCCTTCCTTCCTTCCTTCCTTCCT